TAGGATCACAAGTTTGAGCTCATGCTGGGCAACTTAGCAATACCTTGTCTCAAAAATAAACAGACAAGTAAAGGCCAGGGGTATAGCTCAGTGTAAAGGCCCTGGGTTCAATCCCCAATACTGATATTGTAAGTGCCAAATGGTGATATATGAGCTATGCTATTAAAAACCAAATCAGAGTGAGTGGCCATGTACTAAGGATGATTTATCCTAGGTGGCCAGGAAAGGCACCTGGAGGTGACACTTACGTGAGCCCCAAGGGACAAGTGTCAGCCATTTATTTTACAACCTGGAGGAAGAGCATTCCAGGCAGGAGCAAAGGGCCTGGGGCATGAATGAGTCTGGGAAGAGGCCAAGAAGCTGCTGGGTGGGGCTGCGCATCTGGGTGGGGTGTGGTGGAACCCGAGGCAGGCAGGGCAGCGTTTATTCTGTTTGGAGACTGGATTTTATTCTGTCTGATACTGTGAACCTTGGAGGGCAGGGTGATCTCTCTGGCTATTATGTGGAGAGGGACCAGCAGGTGGCAGCAGAGAGACCACTGGGAACTATGAAAGGAGTCAGGGCAGGAGATAATGGCGTCCTGGACCAAGATGAGGGCTGTAGCAAGGGGTGTCTGAGACACTGAGGAGAAAACCGCCCCCTGGCAGTCCTGGGCAGTGCCCTCAAGTTGTGCCCCTCCCACAGCCCCCTGGTGGGGGCCAGCCCCTCCCCCACCTCACCCCCAGCTTTCTCTGCATCCCTCAGTCCCTTGGATACTTCTGGTGGCCACCTCTGTCTCCCTGCCCCATCTCCTGTGTCTGTGACTTCTCCCCACCAACCTGGGAGCCCCTAGGGGCCAGGCTCGGGCCTAGGCTGTCTGCCGATGCTGGGTGCTGGGCTGGGGCAGCACCCCCATTCCCTCGGTGCTCTGGACACTGAAACGGGAGCCCCGTCCTTGGTCAGGCGCTGGGCTGAGCATATCACTTGGTTTGCCCCGGAGCCCAGCACTGGTTTCTGTTTTTTCCTGTACTCTGGGGAATTGAACCCAGGGCCTTCACACGGATCTACATTCCAGCCCTTTTTTATTTTTTATTTTGATAAAGAGCCTTACTATCTCACTAGCCCAGGTTGGGCTCAAACTTGTGATCCTCCTGCCTCAGCTTCCCACACTGCTGGTATTATAGATGTACACCACATGCCTGGCGTGGCTCTATGGTTTATGCCCCCATTTTATACATGAGGAAACTGAGGCTCAGTGAGTTTAGAAGACCTGCCCAGGGCCATAGTGTGTAAGTAGAGCAGAGAGGTGGCTGTCCTGTGCACAGGAGTGTGCTGCCTCCTGCTGGTGACACTCCTTGGTGCCTCCCTCTCCTCCTTTTCCCTTCCTCCTCCAGCCAAATTCTGGTCATTAGGAAGCGTTTGGCTCTGTGACTCCTGACATGTGACCACCCAGTCCGCTGAGAAGGATCTGCACACGTGCGCTTCTCTGTGACCTGTCCTCCTTCGCCTCTGCCCAAGTGCCCGCCCGTCCCCTCTGACAGCGCCCCTTCTCTCCCAGCTCCATGCCCTGCCCAGGGAGCTCGTCCTGCAGACCACGTACCGGCAAGCCCAGGGGACCCGGCTCCTGCACCAGACTGTGCTGTGTGATGCAGGAGGTGGCTTTCAATGGAAGCCCCCTGGGCCAGTCCCCAAGCCCACCGAGACCCTCCGCCTGCAGGGTGAGCGTCCCCAAGGCTGGAGGTGGCCCAGATCCCCACTTGCTCCATCAGCAAACCATCAGTGCGCAGTGGCTTGTCCCCGTCGCTGTTCCAGGCGCTGAGAATCGATCGGAAACAACGTGACTCAGGTCCAGGCACTCACAGACGGGCAGCGCGCAGGGAAACACATCGAGTGTGACAGTTCCTGAGAGAGAGCCCCGGGAGAGGAGGGCTCACGATGGGGGAGCAGGGCTAGGCGGGTGGCTGAGCGGCCTGTCCGAGGAGGTGAGAGGAGGTGACGTCCAAGCAGAGACCTGAATGACGAGGAGCAGCTGGCCCAGTGGAGGCGCAAGCAGCCGCACTGCGGGCGGAGGGAGCAGGTGTGAAGGCCGGGGGCGGCAGTGAGCCGAGCAGAGCGGCAGCGGCGGCGGCAAGGCCAGCGTGGCCACACGGGGGTGGGGGACGCAGGCACAAGGAGCTGGGGCTTCTCTTAAGGCAGCAGGAAGCCAGGCATCCCACGGACAGCACCTTGTGCTCTGAGGACCTCCAGGAGGCCACGCAGCCTGGGCAGCTGCGGACTCGGTGTCTGCTGAGGGCCCCATGGCACGGAGCGGAGCTCGGCCTGCTGCCCGCCCTGTGGGGACAGCACGGACCCTGTCCCCGGGGACACAGCCTGCTGGGTGGCTGATGAGTTCTCCCCAGAGTCACCCTTGTCACATGTGGGCCGGGGGAGGGGACGGGACGAGCGGATCCTCAGCAAGCCAGGGCAGCTGGCCAGTGCACATAGGTGTGTGCATGTGTGTGCCCCTTGTGTCTGTGCACACACGCCTGTGTGTGTGTGCATGCGTGTGGGCACGCTGCCCTTGGGGGGCTGAGCAGTCCCACACCATGTCTAGAGCCTGGGCTTGGGTCAGAGGGCGGAGGAATGAGGGTTCTAGCTCTGCACGGGGCACAGGAGTGGCCGCCATCCCTGGGCTGATGATGGGCCATGTCTGCAGAATCATCCAGGCCCTCGTGGCCCAACTCCCCGGAGCCTGTGCATGACCTGTGACAGGCAGATCCTCATCCAGAGGGCTCAGGCTGCCCAGGTGGCCACCACTAACCTGCAGAGGGCTCAGGACACCTGCTTTGAGCATATGGGAATGCAGATTATCTGGTGGGGTCTAGTACTGGACTTGTCCTGGGACATGAGGAATGAAATCTGGGGTGAAGAGACTGTCCATTGGGAAGCTTTGGCAATGGGGTACCTCCTATGTCACATCTCAAGAGGAAATGAGGGTGGGGGATGCCTAGCTGAAGCATGGGGGGTTGCTCCTGAGGTATGGGTGTACCCGAGTGGCACGGGCTCTCAGGTGTCAGGGACACATCAGGCAGCTATTGCTGTGTAACAAATTGTCCCAGAACTCAGTGGCAAAAAAACATTACTATTGCTCATGAGGCTGCAAGTCTTCTGGGCAGCTCTGGTCTTCCTTGTGATTAAGATTAGCCTCAGGTTGGCAAGGCAGCTCTGTTGGTTTCTCTGGCTTCACTGACCCTTTGAGGACTGGCTGGCTGCCAGCTGACCTAACAACCTCAGCTAAAGCAGCATGGTGTCACTGCCCCATGGGACGGCCTCAGTTTGTTCAGTGGTGGCTGGGCAGGGGAACATGAGAGGACATGGAAACTGATGCCTCTTAAAGCTAAGGTTCCATACTGGGGCTCTGTTGACCCCACCAAGTTGTAGCAGGTCATGAGGCCAGCACAAGGAGGAGGCAGGCCAGGCTGGGGAAGCGGATCCTGCTTCTGGGTGAAGTAACCCGAGTGGGGGAGTATCGGGTTAATAATATCCCTTAGTTCCTATTTCATAAATGGATACATGTTTATTATTATGTGTTTCCTACAACAACCATTGAGAATAGTTAATGATTATTCAATAGGTCACTCATGTATAGTACTATTTATTTTCTTTCGAAGATACCTAAGTAGAGTACAACAACTACTGATAATCTCCTACCTCTTTTGTCTATAACTCACTATTATTTGTCTATTTGTTTTCCTGAGAAACTATCTTGTAGATAACAATATGTAAAACAATAACCGCTGATAATCTCCTACCACTTTGTAATTTGGTAAGCCCCCCCATTATTGTTATCCTTCTCTTACTCTTTAAAATGAATAAAAAAAAAATATCCCTTAGTTATTGTGCGTTGATCAGGTCTACAACCTCCTGAATGGGTGTACAGCGAAGACTAAACAAAAAGAGGCAAATGGAATGATTTCAGGGCTCCAGGAGGATCAGAGCCCTCTCAGAAAATTCAAGATTCTCTCAGGGCTAAGACCCAAGACCTTCTCTGGGTGGCCCGTGTTTATTTGGTTATCAGAAGGGAGGGGAGTACTCAAGGGCAGAACCACTCAAGGACTTCTCTAAGTAAGGTAATAAGTTAATCCACTCAAGAACGACATGCCTGAGGCTATAATCCTTATCCAGTTGAGATCTGATCCAGGTGTCCTTGGCTGTGATCTTATCCTTTGAGGCTTTCTGGCTTCCTCCACCACCACAGGTTCTAGTAGGGATGAGTGACTCACAGAAGTTCACTTACTATGAGTCCATCATATCCAGACAAGGAGCCCAGGCCTTGGACAGATTCACAGTGAACATGAAAAGTCAATTGGTTAATTTAAGTCCTGCTCAGGTCTGCTTCATAGTGGTCTCCATCAAGGGAGGGAGACTTGGGGCTCCCACAGGGACAGCAGGATATATGCCCCAGTGGGCATGCAGCTTCTGAGTTTGGGAGAACATACCCAAGCGTGTGGCCGCCTGCCTGAGTTGCTGTTTGTGTCCACTCAGAGTCCCCTGAGCCCCTTTGTCTTGAGCATTGTCCTCAGCCCATGGGCCACTCTCTGTGTGTCCCCATCCCCCAGTGGCCCTCACCCACCAGCTGCTGCTCCCCCTGCCGCAGCACTACAGCCTCCTCCTGACCGCGGAGCACGAGGGAGGAAGCCACCAGCATGCGCTGGCTGTCGGCTGGGACGGCAGGGACCAGGTAGGCAGTGGACGCTGGGGTTGGGGAAGGCAGAGCTCCACCTGCCGCCTGAGCAGTCCTGGGCCACCTACCCAGGGTCCTTGCCAGGAGCAGGGACGGCAGGCGGAGCCGACAGGTGAGCAGAGCTTTGCTGTTGCAGAAGACGCTGCGTGTGAGGCCTGGTGGGCTAGCAGGGAAGTGACTGGCTCCTCAGCAGCAGGCACTGCAGAATCAGGGGTTGCTGAGGGGCTCACCTCGGGGTCTTGCCCTCGCCTGTTCCTTCAGCAATGCTGTATTCAGTGCCTGCCAAGTGCCCGGCGGCATGATCTTGTGCCTAACACGGGAACCATTTCCTGCTGGACCTCCAAGCTGCTTTACACGGTTCCCTGCTCCACGGGCACCTTGGGCTGGGCAGGGCAGGCGGGGAAGCTGGACCCCCCACCTGGCTGGTGGCCTTGGCAGTACACACTGCTTCTCTGAGCCAGGTTTTGCATCTGTGAAGTGGGTAACAGCAGGCCAGGCAAAGCAGGCAGAACTCAAGCAGATGAGAAAATGAAACACTCAGAGTTGCAATAAGCACCACGAAACAAGCCAAGAGGACACTGAGGGTCTGACCTGCTGGGCCAGTGGTCAGTGCGGGTCCCTGGGGTTGGGAGATGGCTCATCAGACCTGGGGGTGCAAAGGAACGGCTGTGTGGAGCTGGAGGATGGCAGGTGCAAAGGTCCTGCAGCTGGAAAGCTGGGCCATTTCAGAAAAAGCAGGAAGCCAGGAAAGATGCAGCAGAGTCAGCGATAAGGAAAGGACAGAGCTGTGGGAGGTGAGGTTAGGTGACGGGGCGACGAGGGGCCTCACAGGGCAAGGAGCTTGCCTGGGTTCAGGCTCTAAAAGTGCAGCTGGGGCATTTTCTTCCAAATGCACCTGCTCGTCCATCTGGGGGGCCCTGGCCTCTCGCAGAGCCTGACACCAGAGCAGGTCCCCCATGCCCTAGTTCCTCTCAGGGACAGGGGTGAGCTTCTGCACCTCCACAGCCTCCCCAACTCCAGGCAGGTGCAGTTGGCCTGGGACCTTGAAGCTCACCTGGGCCCACAGGTGCTCGGTGCTCAGCACAGCCTGGGATGGCTGCCTGGCCGCCTCTCTGGGGCAGGTATGTACCTGCTGACAGCCCGGCCACCCCCAGGGCCACCTGGCTCCCAGCCTCTCTGCTGGCCTTGCTCACACCCCTCTTCCTCCCGGCCAGCTCCGAGCACCCTGGGGCCTGGGCACCCTCCGGGCCTGTGGGGCCTTTGCACACAGCCCACCCTGTTCAGTGGGTTGCTGGATCTGGCCTGGGGCCGACACCGGGTGCAGCAGAACGTGACGTATGAGGTGAGCCAAGAAGCTGGGGCTCCACTGTGCAGAAAGTGCGGCTCAGCGGCCCCAGGGTCCGGGGCTTCCGTGCCAGCCACACTGTGCGGCCCGGGCTCTCATTTCTATGCCGAGCCTCAGTTTTCTTATCTATAAAGTGGGCGCACTGTCCTTTCCCAGGGGACTGTAGCGAGCACTCTGGGGAGTAAAGCAGGCACGCAGCACACAGTAAGCCCTCAGACCAGCGCCGGGAGCAGAGGGCAAGGATTCTGAGGTGGGGCATTGGGGCTCGGAGGCCTTGGGACCAGGCTTCCCCCCAGCACCTCCGCCCATCTGAGGTTCCCAGTCACGGTGATGGGTGTTCTGCAGAGCCAGGGACAGGAACCAGGCCACCGAGAAATGAGGAAAACTGACCCTGAAGGCCCTCCTTCCTCCTGGACCCCCTACCCAGGTTCCTGAGACTCTTGGGCCCTGCCCTTGGTATCCCAGCGCAGTCCTTCCTGGAGTCCTGGCAGCAGCTGTGACAGGCCCCTGCACGGGGATTCTGGCTCTGCCACTGTAGGGTCCCCTCGACAGCTGGCACGGACACCCTCTCACAAGCCCTGCCCCGTGGCCTCCCTTCATTTTAGGGGCATCAGCCACCGCAACCAGATAAAGTCTGTGTGAAGGCCACACTTGAGCACATCCTCCCGGCCTCCTGTGGCCAGCAGAGCCTCCGGGGAGAAGTGGAGACAGACTGCACACACTGGCTGTGCCACGCCCTCCACCGGGGCTGTGTGACCTGCCCGGGGTGAATGCCCCCTGGGGAAGGGGGCGCCAGAGGGACAGGGACCTCTGGAAGTGGGGGCACAGCACCTGCAGAGGGCAGGGCCTGAGGGAAGCGCCAGGTACCTGGGCAGGGCCCGTCTCTTTGGGCTTCCCGTGTCCCGGTGCGTAGGGGGCCTGAGGATGAGCAGATGCCATACAGGGGTGCAGAAATGAGAGCCGTGGTGCTGTGTGGATGGGGAGTCACTGGGACCTTCCTCCTGCGCTCTTCCTGGCTGTGCTAGCTAATTCTGCCCATCCATCCTCCCTCCTCTCCCCTCCCCCATGGGTCTTCCCACCATGTTCCTACCCTTCCACCTGTCTGTCCCCTCTCCCTCCCCTCTGCCCTTCCACCCCTCCGTCCACCCGGCCCTGTGCCGTGAAGGGGCAGAGACAGCGTTCCGGCCGCGTGTGCCACAGCCTCTTACTGCTGGGCTCCGTCACGGGAGCCGGAGAGCAGCTGCGGCGGTGGGAACACGATAGCTCCCTGCTCCAGGTGGGGCACGGAGCAGTCGGGGTGGAGGACACAGAACCGGCAGGAGCCGTGTGGCCCGGGGTCAGGTCTCGGGAAGGGCAGGTTAAGGCAGGAGCTGGGCCCTGGGCAGGGACGTGTGTGCGGTCTGTGAGGATCATGGGGGTGGGGTGCAGTGAGGAGACACACAGCGCACCGGCCTGGCAGCGGCCCGGCTTCTCTCCTAAGCAGGGAAGCTGAGCTCTGTGTGGTGGGAAAAGGTTGGATTTGCATTTCTTAGAGGCCTGTCCTGCTGCCAGGCAAGGCAGGGCTGTGGCCGGGCCACCCCCCAGGCTGCTGCCCTAGTTCTCATGGACCAAGTGGTGGGGAGAGGAAGCTGCCACCCCTGCAGCTCCGTGACCCCCGGCTTGGGCTGTCCCACCAGGCCCTCCTGTCTCTGGGGAACACAGCCTGGGCTGTGGGCAGCTCCTGCTCCATTCCCACTGGCAGCTGGGCCCCGCTGCACACGCGGACCCTGGCCTGAACCTCAGCCTGATGCTCTGCAACCACAGCAGGCCCCGTGTACCAGCTTCTCCGCGGAGTTGGAGGTGAGTGTCTGCGAGCACTGCACCAGAGACGGCGCGGGGGAAGAGGCCCTCTCATCCCACGGGATCCTCCCGACCCACTGCCTGGGCTGCCCTGCCATCTAGTGATCATCCCCGGAACTGTAGGCCAGCCCCAGGTTTAGAGCCACTTTCACTCTGGGGTTCCCTGCTGAACTCTTGGGCCAGGCCTTGCACCCAACAAAGCAGCTCCTCCATTACCCTGAGCTCTGGCCCTTGCTATAGCCAAGAGACAGAGCCTGAATGCCCCAGCCTGGCCTCTTCCAGGAAGACGCCTTCTTCCCTTCCCGAGAGGTTCCTGTTTGGAGCACTAGTGTTAGCGCGTAGGTCGACTAGAAGAGAGCCTCACAGGACGCGGCCACTAAGCAGTCCACGAGTGCTACGGACTGGCCTGCTCCTCTGCCCCAGTAGCCCTTGGCCTGCAGTTCCCCCACCCCACTGCAGGACCGCGGGAGGGGCTCTCCCTGGACCTCTGTCCTCGTCTGTACATCTGTACCGGGGGTGGGTCTTTCCCCCAGGGGCTTCCCGGGCTTCTGCCTGCAGATTACAGGGGACAGTAGGCCGTCTGTCACTGTGCCATCCCCTGCCTGTGTCTCTGGCTGGGTGACCTCGACCTTTTGATTGTTCTTCTCCAAGCCTCAGTCTTCCCCCGGCGGCTGGGAACAGACATGGCCTCCTTGTCTGAGGTGTTCGGCGGAGACGGACATCTACCCAGTGTCCGCACTTTGTGGGTGCTCGTGTGTCCTTCCTGACGCCCCTCCCTTCCCCCGGGCTTGGGAGCGAGGGCCCTGTGGCCTGGCACATGCCGGGCACTTGGGGAGGGCCGCTCTTCCAGCCTCGCTGTCCCAAGCACCTCTTGGTGTCTCCTGCCTGGTCACTCGCCCCGCTTCGGGGCCCACAGGGAGGACAGCAGTCTCTCCCGTCTTGCTCGGTTCTCACACAACATGGTGGCCCCTGGGCAGCGAGGGACAGCTGCAGGGAGGGCAGTCCTTCACCCAGCCCCACAGCAGACGCAGGGTCCTTACCCAGCACTGCCGAGTGGGGCGGAGCTTCGGGTGGCAGCCATCGGGGCAGACGCCCCCAACCCCTAATCAGGCGGCCCACTGGGTTCCATGAGGATCCCTGGGCTGCAGCCCCACCCGCCATCCTGGAGACCTCTGGAGAGGGAAGGTGTGTCTACCATGTCCCTGTGTTAGAGTCCTGGGGCGCGGTGACAGATTACCACCAATGTAGGGGCTTCAGACAACGGAAACTTCTGTCTCAGTTCTGGACGCCCCAAGACCAAGATCATCAGTGAGGCAGCAGCTCTCGAGGAGAGAGCTTCCTTACCTCTCCTGGCTTCAGGTGTTGCTGGCAGTGCTGGCCTGGGGCACTGTCGTTCCGGTCGGCCTCAGCCATCACACGGCCTTCTTATCAGGACAGCAGCCATCCGAGCCACAGCCCACCTTCATCCAGTATGACGTCATCTTTCCTTAGTTACATCTGCAAAGAACTTATTTCCAAATGAGAGCACATAAATAGGCCTAGGGGATTCGGACTTCAACCTATGCCTGAGGAATACGCCCCCCCCACACACACACACGGTGACTCTGATCCTTGTATGTTTTGAGAACCACTGCTCTCCATTACAGTATAGATTGTGAAGCTGAGGCCCAGACAGGTGACGCCCTGATTCAAGGTCTCCTTGAACTTGCTGAGACCTTTGCAGTGATTCCGAGATAGCCCAGGCTGCAGGAGGAAACATCAGACACTTAGGTGGTAGCCAGGGTACCCAGAACCATTAAACCCATCTCTAGAGTACGGCCAGGGCAGCAGGAATTTTGCAGGTGCCGCTGGACTGATAGGTTCTCCTAGGTTTTTCGCTGGGACTTTCTGCACCTGGAGTGGAGTCTGAACCCTGCAGCGGGGTGGAGCAGGGGTCTTGTGCCCCAGGGATGTAGAGTGGCCACTGTTTTCTCTGCGTTCCCTGCAGCTCCGTGGCCCCACAGCCCAGCAAGTTGCCCTGCAGGGTCGGCTCTCCACCTCGGCTTCCCAAACCCTGGCCCAGCTGGAGGGAAGCGTGGGCAGGCTGGGTGAGACGGTGAGGCTGTCTGTGTCTCAGGTCCCCAGCTGCCTCCAGGCCACCCTGGGCCATGAGGGGGGTGGGTGGAAGGTGGCCAGGTCCTGCTCAACCAGCTGGGACAGGCCCCACCATGGGTGTTGGGTGCTCAGAACGCCAAGGACCCTCCGTTAGGACTCCATAGCACCCTGGTGCCTGTAGTTGCCTGTGCTGCTGGCAACTGTTGGGCTGGTGACCCTGGGAGGGTGTGGTCCAGCTGGTGACCCTGGGAGGGTGTGGTCCAGCTGATGGAGATGGGTGGATAGGAGCTTCGAGGGGGCAGGGAAGCTCAGGTGGTGCAGCTTCAGGTGTTCAAGTTCTAAGCCTTGAGGCTTTGCCTGGATCACTGGGGAGCTACAGCAGACTGTGCAGTGCAGGAGGAGTGGGCCGCTGGGAGCAGATGGAGAAGACATGGGTGCAAGCACAGGTCCCTTCCTGGCCCCAAGGAGCAGAGCGGAGAGCATGGTGCGGGCATGTGCCCATGGCAGACAGCTGAGGTGGAGGCCCTGCTCCAGGATGGGGAGCACCCCCTCAGCCCCTGGACACCTGGCCCTGCAGGCTGCCAACCAGAGGCTCCTGGCAAAGCATGGCTGCCCGGGGCCCCTGCTGGACCTCGTGGAGGTGAGAGGGCTGGGCGGGGCCGAGGGCTGTTGCTGGTCTCTCCCAGGCAGGGGCCAAGCTGCCAGGCTCCCTGAGCCCTTCGGGGGTCTCCGTGCCCAGAAAACCAGCACCGCTGGTCCCCATGCATGGCCCACACCATCCCAGGCCCCTGCAGCTGGCTCTCACAGCCTCCTGTCCTCTTCCTTCCTATGCGGCCCTAGAGCCCCAGCCTGTTCCTCTGTCCCCACAGTCCAGGATCGTAGCAGCTGGGTCCCGGGTGCAAGCCCGGCTGGAGGAGAACATCCAAAGCGTGGGCGACTATGCGAGAAGGTTCCAGCAGCTGGTGGGTAGACCGTGGGGCAGAACAGGGCAGCACGTGGGCAGCCCGCTGTGGCCTGACTGCACTGCACTCGGCCCCTGAACTCTAGCTTGGGTGAGAGGGTCTGGAGTGCTCTGTACCCTGGGCCTTCACACTGCTCTTGCCTCGGTTTCCCTGCCTAGGTGCAGCTGGGGGGTGCCCTGGACAGCATGGCGGGCCTCCTCCTGTAACTGTTCCAGGTGGGGCTGGGGGCCGTGCAGGCGGGCGGCCAGGCGGTGGCCACCTGGTGGGGCCGCAGCTGGGCCCAGCTGATGCTGACCCGCCACCTGCTGCTCCACCTGGAGGGGCTGCAAGCGGAGCTGGAGCAGCTGCGGACTGAGCTGGAGCGTGAGTCCGGGGCTCTGCACACATGACCGTGAGGGGGAGGCCTGGGGTCCCCCGTGCGCCTGCAGCCCAGTGCCATGTGGGCCCCACACCTCATCCCTCATGGATGTATGGCCTCCGCCCCTGCTTTCTTCCAAGCCTGCTGCTGTGGTTTCCTCAGACACCACCCGAGTTCTCTGTCTGTGGTTCACCGCTGCAGGATTCCAGGCCTCTGTCCTGCTTAGGAAACATCAGGAGGTCCCGGGCCTCTGGCCTTCTCAAAGTTTTGGGGTGATGCCAGGGAGGCCCCAGTCCTGTCACATAAGGTGCACCTAAGTGCCACGTGACAACACCCGAGAGACGCTGTCCACCAGGGCCGCCCCGCAGAGGCAGCACCTGGGCGTTGGTCAGGGCTGGCCACAGCGGTCCTGAGGTTGTGGCCTCCAGCAGGTAGGCAGGTGTGCGGGTGAAGCCACCATCTGCACGCAGCAGGGGCACGGCGACCCCTCACACTTGATTCCAAGGACAGCGTGGGCCTCTCCAGTCAGGCTCCCGGCTCCAGACAAGCGCCGGCCTTGTGACCGGGCCCTTGAGAGGCCACCGCTCAGGCCTGCAGTGCCCTCGCCCACCTTCTTCCAGAGAAGGCCCTGTGTCCTTGGCTTGGGCAGCAAGGCTGTGGACAAGGGCCTCCTGCTGGGTCCTGGCACCTCACAGCAGGCAGTGGTAGCTGGTTGCAGGGCCCCTGGCCGTGCTGAAGGATGCCTACTTGGAGGTGACGCTGCAGCCCCTGGACGAAGTGTGGTGGGAGTGAGCAGAAGAGGCCCTGCAGTGGCTGCAGGCATGGATGCCCACGCTGCTGGGTGGTTGGAGGCTGAACCCATGGGGCAGCCCTGGAGCTGGTCAGGTAGAGCAAGGGGGTGGGGGGTGGAGGGTGGCCTGGCCGGTGACGGTGGCCCTGACAGCTCTCACTGCCCACTCCAGGCTGCCCATCAGGCACCGCCTTGGGCCAAGGTCACGCTCTCGAGGGCACTCAGGTGGCTCTGCAGGCCCCTGCTGCACATGCTCCGCTTCTCAGCCAGGTAACCCAGGAGCAGGAGTGACATCTGTGTCCCTGCCACACACTGGGCACCGTGCTGAACACCCCTACGCCTAGATCTCACTTCTTCTGACAGCCCTGCCCCGGAAGCATCTGCAATCCCCATTTTACAGATGGAGAAACCAAGGCTCGGTCTCCACTCCTTAGATACTTTAGGAGTACTGTCCTCGTGCAAGTGTTTTGGGCACTGCAAACAGATGAATGAGATGGACACGGTGGGCAGCCCTCCCTGTTGAGTTTTAGGCTCTGCGACTGTACATATTCTAGTTTATCTTTAATACCTTTAAATACATAAAAAACACTTCTGGGCTGCAGACCATCCAGAACCAGGCCATAGACTGGCCATGCTCTGCTGAGCAGTTCACCAGTCCTGACCTCTGGGTTAGGAGCCGGGGCTACAGACAGTGGCGGTTAGCACTGTGGGTTGAGGGGCACCATCCCTGGCAGAGCCGGGGGTGGCTTGAATGAGAAGGTAGACTGGGAGCTGGGGGTAGAAGGAGATGAGGCAAGAATTCTGGGTGAGGGCAGAGCCAGTGCAAAGGCCCTGGGGCAGGCGTGTGCTGGCCTGCTTGAGGAAAACAAGGAGCTGGCAGGACTGGAGCAGACTGTGCTGGAGGGAGAGTGGATGACCCTGGAGTTGTGGCTCCAGGGGCCCAGGGCTTCGGGAGGTCTGTGGTGTCCTCTGAGAGAGGAACACACAAAGCAGTTTGAGTTGGGAAAGGATGTGCTCTGATTTCATTTAAAAAAAATTGGGCATGGTATGCGTGCCTGCAATCCCAGCACTCAGGAAGCTGAGGAAGAAGGGTCACTGCAAGTCCAAGGCCAGCCCGGGCTACATAGTGAGCTCGAGGCCAGCTGGAACTGCCCTGAAGTGAAAGACCCTGTCTCAAAAAACTAAAACCAAACCAAAACCAAAACACCCAAAAGCTCCTTTGGCCCCTGTGTGGAGAGGGAAGACTTGGGGGCAGGGGCTATTTCAGCAGCCGTGGCAGCCGGGAAGGGTAGAAGTGGCTGGACTCAGCCTGGTGTCAAGGTCAAGCCAGCAGGATGTGCTGCTGGGGGGGTGGAGGTGGTAACAGAGGAGGCAGGGATGGCTCTGGGGTTGAGCTCCACAGCTAGAAAAATCATACAGAAGTGGGCACGGCTGCAGGGGACCTGGGGGGTGGTAGGTGTCTGTTGCTTCTATAAGCAGCTCTCATAATCTCAGTGGCTTAAGCAACACACATTTGCTCTCGTATAGCTCTGGAGGTCTGAAGTCAGGGTCCCTGCACCACGTGAAGTCGAAGTGTCAGCAAGGCTCGTTCGGTCTGGAGGTTTAGGAGAGAGTCTCTTCCCTTCCCTCCCTCTGGCGTCCAGAGGCCACTGTATGCCCTGGCCTGTGATTCTTCCGTCTTCCAAACCAGCAGCGTAGCAGCTTCTTTTGCAGGGCTGGAGACTGAAGCCAGGCCTTGTGCGTGCTGGGCAAGCGCTGTACTACTGAGCTGCGTCCCTGGGCACAGTACCTCTGCCCCTCCTGCTTTGCTCTTAAGAGGATGCTTCGGACTGTCCCAACCCACCTGCATAATCCGCAACCTCCCCTTCTCTAGACCCTTAATTTAATCCCACCCGCAAAGCCCTTTTGGCCACGTACGGTCACAGTCTCCTGGTCTGTCAGGGCTGTTGTTTAGCCTGACGCAGGGAGGCAAGCGCTCCTTTGGAGGTGCCTCAGCGTGAGAAGCCACGGGGACACCTAACAGACAGTGGCCAGCCGGCACCCAAGGCCTGGGTTCCTGAGCACCTTGGGTGCTGGGAGAGAAGTGACTGGCCCTGAAAGGAGGGCAGAGCCCATCTCTGTGCCAGGCCAGGGACTGGAGAGCTTGGGCCAGGAATCCTGGTTTGAGTCCAGGTCTGCCTCTAACTACGGCTTCCCTGGATCAGTGCTCTGTGCCTCAGTTTCCTCACCTGTAAAAGAGGGACATGCCCACCTCCCAGATAAAGGCGCAGAAAGCTGTTGAGGGGTGACTTGCAGGTGGCCTTGTGGAAATTCGGAGTAGGGGCCACCTGGTGAGAGAGCAGGAGCCATCGCCACCAGGGGGTGGGTGGGGATGGGTGGGAGGGGGAGGGACACAAGCAGCAGGGAGGGGTCCAGGCACCTCCTGGGAGAAGGTAAATGAGGCCACCTGCTCCCTGTGCCCCACCCTCCCTACTGTGAGCTGAGGTCGGCCTGACCCCATTCTACATCCTGAGGTGGCTCCACAGGCCTCCCCTAAACTATACAACTCGCAGTGACCCACAGCTCCATGGTGGATATTGTTGCAGCCCCTGCCTGTTCCCCCACGACACAGCATGCAGATGTGGGCCTCAGAGTCCACACCCCCACGGCAGGGCTTGCATGCAGCCACCCAGCATGAGGTCACACAGCAGGGTCCTGACAGCAGGGCACTTGGCTTCCCTGGCCAGCCACCTAGGCCCACCCAGAGGGCCTATGATGCTCCCTGCTGACCTTGTTTTGGAGCCCTCATGTCACATCCTACAGTACAGGAAGGTCGGGCCTGACTTTCAGGGTCTCCAGCTCCTCCCTGCTCCCTCCAGGAACTGCTCAGTGGTGGTGACGTTGCCATTGTTGCCTGCAGTGGACGAGCTCCTGCACTCGGTCTGGGTCACCAGCTACCTGGTGGAGGAGAAGCTGCTGCAGCCTCTCCAAGAGCTGTACAGGGCCAACGTGCTAGCCGAGTGGTTCGGGCTCCGCCACCGCCTGCTGGGGAGCCCCTTGGAGTGTGAGTCCTGCCGTGGGAGCCGCTCCTTCTGCAGGGCCAGTGTCAAAGGAGCCTGCAAAGGTTTAGCATCACTGTGCTAGGGCTGGAGGTCGCTGGCCTCCCTGAGGTCATTTGGGGATACAGAGCCTGACCTTTGCCCAGCAGAGGGGTGTTCAGAGCTCTGAGGGCTCCAGGCCAGCTCCCTCCCCAAAGACCGCTGCTGGAGAAGCGGAAGGCCGACCTCCAGTTGCAGCGGAAGGCTGCTAATTGAGTCCAGACTTGTTGCTCAGGCTGGGCCTGCAGCCAAGGGCTCTCCTGGGACTGGGGCCGGTTCTAGGAACCCTGGGGGAAGGCTGCGTCCTACTCAGGCTGGCTGTGTGACCCAAGAGGCCACTGACCTCTCTAGGATTTAGTTTCCTCCATATGAAGCAGAGGTGGCAACACAGGTGGCTTGTGTAGTGAGACTGAGCCACAAGCCCAGCCTCTTGCTACAGAGCAACGTAGCCCCAGGCTGGGTCAGCAGTGGTTTATCTGGGTGGGGTCAGCCTGAGGCTGGTGCAGGTGGGAGTCCCCCTCAAGGTGGGGACACTGGCACTGGAGACTAGAGTTCCAGGTCCCGGCCATCTGGTGCTCGGCCTGCTCTGGCTGTTCTCCCCAGACCACGCTGTGGGGGCCGGCGCCCGGCACGTGGTGACCTTCGATGGTTGGCTGCGGGACCTCAGTGCCCACTGAGGCAGCCTCCTGCTGGCCAAGGGCTTTGCGCACAACGCATTCTCTCTGAGGCTGAGCCAGGTGGGCTCAGGGCCCAGGGCCCTGCACGTGGAGCTGAACCACTCGACCCTCGTCCTCTAACCCAGCCTGCAGGTCCGTGAGAGGGTGTGATGAGGGGACAGAGCCTCCCCCAGGGGTGGTACTTGGGGCTTGTCATCAGCTTGAGGGCTGCATGTTTGGCTCACTCCCTAGGGGTCCACAGGCCTACAGACTGTATGACTGCTCCCTGGCTGGGGACAGCTGTCCGGACTTGGATTTGTCCCCTGCCAAGATGAGGCGGGATGTGCCCAGGATCGAGCTGACCGGTGAGGACGGCGTCTCAGCCTCCTGTGATGTGCAAGCTGGCTTCTGTGGCCTGACCCTGGGCCTGTGGCACCATGGTAGGTTTGGGTCCCACGGCATCGGCCCTGCCTGAAGGGCCTCTTCCGCCTGGACCATGGCCGGGCTCTGAGCAGACCCCAGGCCACAGTGGGGGCCACTGGCTCCTTGGGACCCACAGCCTAAGCAGCCAGGGGAGCACAGCCCAGAGGCTCAGAGTAGGGAGCAACCTCACTGGCTAGCCCCCTGCCAGGACAGTCCCTCCTCCGGGGGTGACGGCAACAGTGAAGGCCATGACCCTGGCCTTATGTTCAGCATAACACATCTGCTCTGCACTTCTTAGTCCTACAAGTTCCCATCCCATTTACAGATGATCTGGCAAAGGCCCAGGCTGCTCCAGAGTGAGGTCAGCTCTCACTGCCCTTTACTAGCTTGTGTCCAAGGACCACATGAATGCCACGAGAAGGGCAGGAAGGGACACAGAGGTGTACACAGACCCTTCCCTTCTCTCCTTCTTCCTCCCCTCAGGTTCGGCCCTCCAGTGTGGGGTGGGTGGGATTATGCCATACCCAGGCTCCTCCCACACACACACATCCTGCAGGAGCAGGGACACAGGTGCTCTCTACACATCTGTCCTGCCCCGCAGGGGTCTCTCCTGGCCTGCTGGGCACTGACAATGAGGCAGGTGACGAACTTATGCTGCCAGGTACACTCTGGCCTGCAGTCTGGAGGGGCTGGCAGGTGAGCCTCAGTCTCACCAGGACGCAGGCATGAGGGGTGGAGACCCAGGGGCAGGGGGACTCTCACCCGGGAAGCACCCACTGGGTCCCTCTTGTGTCTCTGCTGAAGCTGATGCACTGGGGGGAGTCTGCCTGGAGAGAAATGGGCAGCAGGAGGCCCGAGTCTTGTGTGTGTCCCCCAGGTGGGGGGGCACTGCAGGGACCTGGAGAGGACACGGCAGGCATGCCCAGGACAGCGCTCCACCTGCCAGGCCTTCTTCCAAGACATCTACTCCAGCCTGGGGACCTGCTTCCGGGTGGTGAGTGCAAGGTCAAGCCTGGTGGGAGGCCACGTGGATGGACTACAGGTCAAAAAGAGACCCTTGCCCCACCCCCTGGGCTCCTGCAAGGATGCAGTGAGCGAGGTTAGTGCCTGGGGCTTCACCGATGGCAGGTGGGCCCTGCCCCATTCCTCAGCCTCTGCCTCCGGTACACCTATGACACCCAGGGGCTGCCACCCGCCTGCAGCCTGGCGGCTTCCTATATACACCTGTGCGCTCGGGCAGCTGTGCCCCTGGACCCTCCTCCTCCGTGTGGTAAGTGTGGCTCCTCACTCTGGCCCTGGTCTGGCCTCTGCTTCCCTCCCAAAGGGAAAGAGTTCCTTTTTCTTAGCCCCCGCCAAGGAAGGAGGATGCCCACTGGATTACCATAGTGAGCCAGGAGTCCACACTAAAGGTATGTGCAAAGCAACACTTAGCAGGAAGAGACAAGTCCAAAGCCTCCCCATGCTGAGTGTCTAGAGCATCCTACAAAATCACCTGGAATCCAGGCATGGTGGCGCACGCCTATAATCCCAGCACTGTGGAGGCTGAGGCAGGAAGATTGCCATAAATTTGAGGCCAGCCTAGACTACATAGTGAGATCCTGTCTCAAAAAAAAAAAAAGTCACCTGGAAACCTATAACCACAGACCTGCCACTAGAGAAGTTGAATAAATACCACCTTCAATGCCTAGAAACCCACTTCCACCAATGTCACAGGCATAGACATCAATGACAGTGGCAAACAGCAGGACAGCGGCCACCAAGACCCCCAGAAACCAGAACGAGTGGCTGCATGAGAGCATTAAAAACATAAAAGCAACACTGAAGAATGACAAACAGAATGCCCAGAACCACCGCAAGGAGTCATTTTCACAGAAATTTAAAACTTAACAGATTTAAAACAGAGAGAAAAAGTAATGACCTGGGAAATATGAGACAGGGAAGACAGCATGAGAGGACCCAACGTGCCTAAAAGTTCCAGAATGAGAACATGTGGTATTTGAGACAAGGCCCTTTCAAGTCAGGAAGCATAAGGAGTCCCAGACACAAGGACTGACTCCAAACCCATTGAAGCAGCCTTGCAGGAACGCTGAACCGTGAGTCCCACAGGCTACCAAGAGCACAGAAGGGGAAGGTCTGTCATGGCAGAACAAGCAGAGATCTCCCTCTAGCAAAGACAGAAGAGAGCAGAATAAACCCTTCACAGAGAAAGTATCAAGTTCAGCTTTATGCCAGTCTACCTCTCACTTAGGATCGAAGACTGACTAAGTTCTTGGCAGTGGCTTTGCAAGTGCCGTTGCCAGTCCTGACCCTCTCTTGGCCCCATGTGTGGCTGCTTCCTGCCATGTGGGCAGTGCCCGCCGAGTACTTGCAACTCAGACCGTACAGCCTGGAAAGCCGGAAGTATTTACTATCTGCTCCTCGAGAGAAAAAGTTGGCCGATCCCTGAGGTGACCCAAGGAAAGCAGAAGGAAGAAATTAAGTGAAGTTTATGAAACAGGAGAGAAAGGAACAGAGATGACCAAAGGAGACCAAGCACCGGGAACAAGCAACGGTCAAAACCTCAGGTCCAAGACGGAAGTCCAGAAGGGATGAGGAGACTTTGCGGACACATCTGAAGACACTGATTCCACTCTGGTCTCGTCTAAACTGAGTTGACAATGCTAAACCTAAAGAGTCTCATAGCTATTAAATAAACTGAATCTACAGTTTAAAAAATAACTAAAAAAAACAGGCCCAGCTTGTAAAGGGTTCTTAGACATCACCCAAAGCATGATTCATGAAAGGAAAAAAAAAAAAAAAAGCAAGAAATTGGACTTTATCTAAGTTAAAAACTTGCTCTGTGGAGACTATGTGATCAGGAAGCTACAAGCCGAGAGAAAAGAACTGCAAAGCACATCTGGCCAAAGACTCGTCTAGAATATGTAGAACACTTAATAGTAAAAAGTGAATCTAAATAGAAAATGGGCCAGGGGTGATAGTGCACCCTTGTAATCCTGGCACTCAGGAGGCTGAGGCAGGAAGACCGCCAGGAGTTCAAGGCCAGCCTGGCTACAAAGTTAGTTCAAGTCCAGCCTGAACTGCATAGCAAAACCTTGTCTAAAAAAAAAAAAATGAGGAAAATACATAGACATTTCACCCAAGATATATGGTTTGCAAACTTCTCTTAAAGCATGTGAAAAAGAGTTTAACACTACTCACCTATTAGAACAGTTAAAATAATAAACAGTGACAACACCAAATGCTGACAGGACAACATTGCTAGCAGGAATGTAAAATGGTGTAGCCACGCTCGTAGTTTCTTAAGCTGAAGAATATTTTGTGTGTCGGGGGTGGGCGGGCGGTGAGATGGGATCTATGTGGTTCCAGCTGGCCTCAGGCTCCCAAGTGCTGGAATTACGGGCACACACCACCATGCCTGGCTGAATACACTACTTTTGATGCAGCTGGTATGCACTTAAATAATCATCTCAGAGAAATTACAGTTTATCTTCAAACAAAAACCTACACATGATAATTTATAGCACCATTACCTGGAGTAGCCCAAACCTAGAAGCAACCATAATACTCCACAATAGGTGGATGATCCCACAAACTCTGACATCCATACCGTGGACTCCTTACTACTTAGCATTAAAAGGTTTAAGTTTTTCAGTCAAGCAACAGTTTGTGGGGATCTTAAGTGCAGTCTTGAAAACAGCCAATCACAAAAGTTGCTGCCTGATTTTAGTTATGCAACACTCTGGAAATGACAAACTGGTGGTTGCCGGGGTCAGGGATGGTGGGACACGGGTCTAACAAGGGAGGGCAGCAGGGGAGGCCTCTGGTACAGGACGAGCCCTGTCTGTGTCTTGTTCATAGTAGCGGTAACAATCTCTACGTGTGACACGATGTCACAGAACCACACACATGTGCTGTACCAATGCCAATTTCTGGGCTTTGCTACTGCAATATATTTATGGAATGTAATTATGGGGGACTCAGGGAAACCAGGATGAAGGATACACTGCACCTTTCTGTACTACTGTGCAAATTCTTGTGAAAGTATATTTCCAAATAAAAAGTTATTAAAAATTAGAAATAAAGCTGGACATGGTGACACATGCCTATAATCTCAGCACTCGGGAGGCTGAGGCAGGAGGATTACAATGAGTTTGAGACCGACCTGGGCTACATAAAAGTACCAGGTCAGCCTGAACTACATAGCGAGAGCCTGTCTCAAAAACAAAGAAATTAAAAATACAACACCAGGCCCAGATAGCTTTATAACAAGTTGCAAAACTGTTTGATAATAGCAAAATGAAACCTCACTCATTTTAATTCAGTTACTGTTATCCTGGCACACCAGAACCCTACAAGGATAATGCCAGAGAGGAAAACTAGAAGACACCGGCCCACCTGAGCAGAGATATTCCACGTATAAATGCTGAGCTCAGATATCACAAGTACATTAGTAAACAAACTCAGTGTGTTAAGACTAGCAGACAAAAACTAACACATTATCATAGCCAACTGGGATTAATTGCTGCAGTACAAAGATGATACAGACATTCCTTGTTTAACGACCAGGTTCTGCTTTTTGTGACTGCCTCATTGAATGAATTGGTCACTAAATGAGGAATTATATGCTATGTACATGACAATATTCAAAAAAAAGAAAACCCGAACTGAAGAATTTGCCTTTAATTGGAAAAACCCCAAAAGCAAGAACGGAAAGGAAAAAAAAAAAAAAAAACAAAAGAACGGAAAAGAATGGACAGCAAAATTCACAGTACTGTATAAACGAGGTGTACTGTACAACAAAAGACACTGAGGCTCTATAAACAAGATGTACAGAACTGTACCAAAAAAAAAAAGATGTGTTGTAAGTCCAAACAGCATGCCCTGTCTTGCGTCCGAGCAGTCATGAAATGAGGAATCTCTGTATTAACACCACCATTCTGAAGAGGTCATTTGGACAAGGTAATTCAAAACAGCCCTCCTAGCCGGGCATGTTGGCGCATGGCTGTAATCCCAGCACTTGGGAGGCTGAGGCAGGAGGATCGTTGCAAGTTTGAGACCAGCCTGGGCTACAAAGTGAGCTCAAGGCCAGCCTGAACTGCATAGCGAGACCCTGTCTCAAAAAAAAGACAAAAAAAAACCCCAACCAAACAAAAACCAGCCCTTCTGGTGGGATAGCTAATAACACTGGACAAGGTACAGAACGTGGCATATTGAAAACATCTTGGTCAAAATCCAAGGGAAGACAGAGTGGCATCAGCAAGATGTTGACGAGGAAGTACCAGGCCCTCGCCGCACCACAGAAACACAGAATAGAAAACACTATGTGAACCGGTGTAGCTTTGGGGAAATGCTAGAAAGCAGTTCAGCAGCAGCAATTAAATGAATTCCTACGTGGCCCTACCCCACCCCAGTGCAGTCTCAAAGGAGCCGCCCGAACCCCAGCTGCTCCCTTCTCTGGTGGAAGGAGAAGAGTGAACTTGACTGCAGTGTGTTCTGCTATGTCCCGGCCACACGGGAGGCCTGTTTATGTCCTGTCTGCCTTGGAGTTCGGCTGACAGCAGCGGCAGAGTTTACATTTCAGGTTGGAGGTTTCTGGAAGCAGCGGTGGGTGGCACTGCAAGAGAGCTGCAGGGGGCCACAGCACTGCAGGTGACCAGGGGAAAGGATCAGGGGCAGAGGAATATGACGCAGCATCCAAGTTCTTGAGAAGAAGGTGGCACGAGGCTCCTAGTACGATGACATCTGCAGTGAAAACACATTTAAATGAGGGACGGCATCCCCAGGCCTCCGGAAAAGGTCCAAGAAGACCTCACAAGGGTTAGTGAACATCTTTCCCTAGACAGAGGAAGTCTGCAAAGACTAGAAGGGGTAGCTGTCTTTTCAAATGCCCAGTACTCATCGAAGAAACAGGGAGACAAGGCCTGCTCAAAGGAACAAAGTAAATCTCCAGAAACCAACCCTAAAGAAACGCCAGGCGCTGAGTTACTTGACAAG